TGAGAGATTTGTGGGGAGCAGGGAAGCATCAGTGCTTGTGTGTAAGACAGCGACATGTTTCAGCCCACACAGCTGGGGTCCAAACTGGGGGGGCTTTTCCCACCCAAAGGGCTCATTGAGAAGGAAATCCTGAGAAGGAACGCAATTACAAGGAATACTGTTTAGAAAAGCAGAGATATTTACATTGGAAGATGAGATCATTGCATGAACTAAGGGGTAGAGAGAGGCTGCAGATGGATTCAGATGTTCCCCTCAGGCTCTCCTCCAGCCTTCAGAACAACTCACACCTCTCATGGCACCTGTACGTGGCTTTGAAGGTGGGAAAGGCAAGTAGCCCTGAGTCCCAGCAAGCAAATTGAGCTACGGGGCTTACATCTGCTCCAGCCCAGCGAAGAGCTCCTGGGAAGTCATGAGACACGGGCTGAAGAGATGGAACAGCTCTTCTTGGAGCAGCTCCAGCACCACCTTAGTGTCTTCCCCAGAGACCCCCGAGTTTCATCATGCTTTGGGACAATGTGTGTGGAGGGAAAGCAAAAAACCAAAATACCAACTGGATCCCTTTCAGAAGACAGTGTTTGGTGTACATTTGCAATGCTACACTGAGGACAGCTGATAGATACATCCATGTTGACAGGACTGGTCCAAGTTGCCATCTGATCTGCTAAAAATCCCCCCATTACCCCCGTTTTTCAGAATCAACAGCAAATTGGCCAAAATTGCTTCAAACAGTTGGTTGAGGCTTTGGCAAATTTCTCCCCAAAATCAAAGTGTCAGGGGAGAAACTATTCGTTTTGAGGCACGATTGGCTTTGTTATTGGTCAAAGCAAAGGGCCTTGCTGCTCCACAGACCTCAGGCAATGCTTTTTGGCCTTGGGAAGCGTGCTGACATGATCCAACAAAGGGTGATTAATCAGAAGCCGGTGTAATTGAACACTCCCACTGCTGCTCAATTAATCCGATGACTTCCCTTATAAATTCATAATCGCAGCCCGTGACTGCAGCAGACCTTATTGATATGCCAGAAAGGTTTCCAGTTCTGAGAGGCTCACAGGTGTCTGGGGCAGAGGAGGGCAGAAGAAAAGCTGGTTATAAAACAAAGCACTCAGCAAAGTCCTTCCCCTTCCCCTTCCCTCCCACTCCAGGCTGAATCAGAGCAAAGTTGCTGAAGTGGGGCTGCTTGTCACCCTGCCAAACCCCGCTAACCGGCCTTGGTGTCAACGCAGCCGTGACAGGCAGCGACAAAACACCCAGCATCAAACTCATCAGCTGGAAGGGACCCAGCAAAACTGGGTCATAACCACTGGATGAGTCAATTCCCACCATCCTCAATATTGCAGATGTTGAGCGGGGTGCAGGGTGTCACCCCCTGATTCCCATGCCAGTCAGTCCCCACAAAATAATCTAAATAATCATTTCTTTTCATTTTCCTTTTTCCATTGGAAGGGAGTTTGCAGCTCGGTGACATCTCCCTCAAGCAACAGCTTTTTTTTTTTTTTTTTTTCCTTTTGCAAACAATGCCAGTGAAATGCCACCATCCCTTTCACAACTCTCGCTTTCTCCCCAGACTAAGTGCATTTCTGTGCTTAGAGCTTTTTAAATGCACTGATTGAACGTGGCAGTGGCAGCCAAGCACACACGCCTTGCACGGGAAACAGACCGAAGGAGGGAAGGAAGGGTACAAGCAAATATTTCTTCAGGATTGTCAGGCCTTTCAGTTACCATGGCAGTGTGTTTCCATGGAAGCCAAATTTGAAGCCTGTTGCTGCCACTGGAGTGGCCCAAAGAAAATTATTAGTTTTGAAAATTAACCAAGCTGCTCTCTACCTTGCAAGCCAGCCCACCCATCCCGCCTAAATCTCACGGGCATTTGACCATAAGATGATAGATCCTCCTTTGTGAGCTCAAGAGCTCAAAACCAATTCAGAAGTTTCCTTCCATAGCAGGTAAATATCTGCACAAGTCTGAACAAGAAACTGCTCTGTTCTGGATTATCTGCTGATCTGGCCACTCTGCTCTGAGACTGACAGCCTAGAAAACAAGCTGTTGCTGTTTACAGAGTTCCCTGGGTCTGCCCAGAGACGTCTCCTCCACAGCACGTGCGTACTCAGCTCTTACTGAGTTTTTTGACATTTTGAAAGAAACCGGAAAAAAAAAAAAAAAAAAAAAACCCACCACAAAAACCAAACAGCATCTTTCCATCCCAGATAAAGGATTCAATAAACACGTGGGGAAGGAAGAGAGAGCAGAAGAAAATACCGCACAATGGAAAACAGGAGCTTCCTTTGATGCAGCCAACAATGCAGCAAGCACACTGGTAAGCACAGGGCTGAACACGCTTTATGAAATACCACACATAAAGGGCAGCAAAATCCTCCAGAGCAGCCTGTGCCACCGGCTCCCGAGGGGACAGAAGGAGGGGGGTAGCACTTTGAGACCAGTGCTGTTTGGTCGCCATTTGCTTGAAATTACTCCCTCCCCACCCCTTAATGATACTGATGCCTCTCCCTTGGTTTGCTCGCCCACCTCCCAGGAAAAGCTCGGGGAGGGGAAGGAGAATTTTCCTGGGGGCTGCCTTAGTCAACAGTAAAGATCAGCTTAGCTGCTCTGCTGCTGGTCAGAATACTTTTTTGAACTCTTGAAAGTCACCTTTTTCCTTGCTCACCCCATCTCCCCACCAGAAAAATAAAAAGGCATTTCCTGCAGCCCCATTCATGTTTCAGAAGCCAGGGAGCCCACATAAAGTGTCTCCTCTATTTTATCACCAGTAACTGAAAAAGTGTGGCACGGAGATTCACCCTTTCCAAAGGGGAGATGGTGGGATTCAGGGATGAAACGGGAGTTGTGTCCCACAGGCTGCCTGAACACGGGACATTCAGGTGACAAGAGCAAACCCAGCACTACTTCACTACTCAGAGTCTCCAGGTCTGTGACTTCCACCCAGAAACAAGGACCTCTTCCCCACCGACATGAAAAAAGTATCATGAAGGCCTACCAAATTAGGCCTTCTGGGGATAAAACACCTAAAGAAAGCTGAAGTCTCACAGAAAGGCAAAAGATCAGAGGGAGAGAGGCACCTGTGATGAGAGACTGTTGGACCATCAGCTGAATCTGACTTCTCTTAGAATGATCTAAGAGCTGCACCACTGAAACACCGCTCTTGTACCAGTGCTACAAGGTCTCCTGTGCTCTCTGGTACCTCCAAAGAAACTTAAAAATGACCCCGCAAGAGGCAGTCAAAACTAGAGCACACCTGAGAGCAGAATGACTGGCTTAAATCAACACTCTCCCCTTTTTGGGGAGGTTTTCACAGTTGCCAGCATTACACAGTCCTGGCACCCACGACTACCGGCTGCTTGCCTTCCTCTGCCAGAGGTTGCCACCTCGCAGAAAGGAGGAAAAAGCACGTCCAGATTTTAGCTCTTCAAAAAGCCTGACCTCCTAAACTTCAAGTCCTGAACAGGAGTTTGCAAGTAGGTACCAGCGGGAAGGCAGGATGCTCTAACACAGGTCACACGTGGAGGCGGCTGCTGGCAGCGTGGGGCAGGCAGCTGAGAGCCACAAGAGCCGGATGGGGCCCTGAGCCATGGCTGAAGGGCTCGTCAGAACCATCAGGCACAGCTTAACCACTTAGAGCAAGTCATACTAGGGACATCCAATGCTTCATGCACCAGCGCTTAGAACCCTTTGCTCTGCACACATCCAACAGCTGGAGTGTTCTCCTCATGCAGGAGAAGGCTTCAAGTCCAGAGGAGGACTTACCCCAACGGCTGTTCCACTGGCCAAATTATATGGCATGAACCATAGAATCAGAATGGTTCAAATTGGAAGGGACCTTAAAAATCATCGAGTTCCAACCCCCCTGCCCCACAGGCAGGGACATCTCCCACTAGACCAGGTTGCTCAAAGCCCCATCCCACCTCGTCTTGAACACTTCCAGGGATGGGGCATCCACAGCTTCTCTGGGCAACCTGTTCCAGTGTCTCACCACCCTCATAGTGAAAAATTTCTTCCCAATATCTAATCTAAATCTCCCCTCTTTCAGTTTAAAACCGATACCCCTCATCCTATCACTACACTCTCCAATAAAGTATATAAATACCCCTGAACTAAGGTTCTCTTTGGACATTTCTGTCTCTCCTCCCAAGCTCTCTTTTGTAAAGAGAAAGCAGATGTGGTGAGCAAGCCAGCTTCCTCCTCCCTGTGCAGAAGACACAGTGGTTTCACTTTCCACACTGGGAGAGACAGACAAGGACCAAAGATGTGGTGAGCAAGCCAGCTTCCTCCTCCTTGTGCAGAAGACACAGTGGTTTCACACTGGGAGAGACAGACAAGGACCAACCATCCAGGTCAATAGTTCACCCAAGAATACAGGGTTTTGGTCTTTGCTCCACTAACTCACTCTCTGGAGCTATCTCTACCACCAGTGAACTGCAGCAGGTGTGGAGTTAAGTCTGCAAAGACCACTTACCAGTGCTTGAACACATCCATCAGACACCATGGTCCATCGTCTCTGGGCAACCAGCACCGTCAATGTCTCCTTTTCACACTTCCATGCCAATACGGCCGCTTGGACCTCTGGACTCCGAAAGGCTTCAGGGCTCCATCCAAGAGGATACATCACACCACCACCCCTGGCCAAAATTCAGGTTTTTTGCTTCACACACAGATCAAAGGGAAGAAGACGAAGTGTAACAGTGCAGGTACGTTACTGAACTGACCGCATTATCTGATCTCTTATGGAGGTCAAAAGGACCACAGGATCCCTTCCAACCCTCTCTGTGCACTTGTATCTCCATTTTACCACAAGAAAGCCGAGATTACACGAGACTCCAGAGACTGATAAAGCAATACAGCCACAGACAGGGAGGTATGCTTAGTCTTCAGAGAGTTAAATTGCCCTAAATCCCACTTCACACAGAGAAATAAGGAAGTAAGCAATTATCTGTTTTCCTATGTCACTAAAAATCAAGGGTAAAAAAAACCCACACAGAACTGCCAAATCTGTTAAATCCATAACTTAAAACATTTTAATAAAAACAAAGCAAAATACATTTCATAATCCGTCCACTGGCACAATGTATAAAAACTTTTAAATAACAACTTTAATATTAGTCACAAAATACAGCATGTTGTATAAAAATACCTGTACACACATTGCTAAAAGATAACATAAAACCGCTCTGAATAGGCCATGCAAAGACATTCAGCTTTGCCCTTTCCATTTCCAAGCACCTGCTGGAACCTGCTACGTTGCTCCTTCTCCTTGGGAGGGTTTTGTGCTGGCACTTTTTGGGGGGGAGACCTCCTCCACCCCACCTCTACCCTGCACTCAACGCCCTGGCAAAGGGCTTCGGAAATGAGCTGACAAGTTTAAGGTGCATCAGGCCGGGCACCTTCGCGGCCCAATTTTCACAGCTTACGTTTCAGAAAGTGCTCAACATCCGTGTCCTTCTCCACGGACACCTCAACCTTGGTCACTCAAAATATCCAGCTTTTCAGCCCTTCCAAATGACCCCTGACCCCTGGTGCATCACGGTACCAATAGTGGAAGTGAAAATCTAGACACTCGGCCTGAGATCACTGCAGGAGGCAGAATGCAACAGCTGCAGCACCATTTTTGCACAGAAGTACCTCTGCATTCGATAATCCTGAATTATGCACACACCAAAGTTCCCCGAAGCCTGTCCATTCACATTAATAACTCCAGGTAACACATACAGAGGGACTTGGGAGAAATATGAGTTCACAGAAAGGAAGGTATAACTGAGGATTAGCATTAATATAGGAAAAAAAACCCAGATACTAAGTATAAACTGTTCGAAAAACAGCCTGTTATACTGTGGTTATCAGACTTCAGAATGTAACTTGTCAGAGAAGGGGACACACTGGACACACACACATGAAAAAGATGAGATGGAATACATTTGAGTTAAGAACAAAAAGATATCAGATAAAGAAATAACACCCCCCCAGCTTTCATCCCACATGCTGACACACAAACTACCAACAGGATAAAAACAGCAACCCAGTCCTCTTCATCTCTAAAAGCCTGAGTGATCCTTGAACCTTCACAGTATCATCCCCAATACAATTTAAGCCCAACAAGGACAATGGAGACAAATCCATCCAGTCATTGTCTTTGTTTCCTGAGGCCACAGAAAGAGAGAAGGGTGCTGCTGGCTGAAACCAGCCCCTGCTGCTGGCACCAGTAGTGGCACTGGGCAAGATGTGCCATCAAGGAGAGCACCCATAGGAACGGAGAGACTTGATGCTCTGCCAGGGAAAGCAAGAAAGTGGGGTTTTTTCCTTCTGATGTTTTCAAGTTCACGTTTTAAAGCATGCTCTTCTAAGAAGAAAATAAGGAAAGCTTAGTGATTTATCACCTCAGATAATACAGCAGCAAACTCACCTTCTCTAGTTTAAAAAGATCAGTTAAATTATCTTAATGCACCAAATCTGACAGGCAAAAAACATTCCCATAAAAAGCCGTCCCCTTAAAGTTACAAGTCGCAACACAAGAGCAAGCTTCTAGTCAAAGAGTCAGAAGCAGAGAAGCTTTTATCAGCGCTGCAAATCCAAGTAAGAACACAGGCTGGTGTTGCCAATCCATAGCAGGAAAAAGTTTAAAAGGCTTTATGGGGAACTGGCTGAAAGTCACTGTTTTTGGTGGCGTGCGTCATCGCTCTGCGCTTGGCGAGGCGGGACTTGGACGGAGGAGAAAGCTTCATGGAGCACACAGCATGGGCCACGTTCTCCTGCTCCACGCTGAGCTCATTCTCGTGCTGAGACAACTGGCGGTTCAGGGCTATCGCCTCCGCAGCAAAAAGGGTCAGGTCTTTTGTGCTACTGTTCCTTTCAAAGGGAAAAGGAGAAAGCAGTTACAACGCGTGCAAAAAGTCACTTCACCTGGTTGCCCTCACAGCAGAATATCTATTGCCAGGCAGGTTTATTTCTCCTATCAAAATATTAATGCAGCAGGAAAAAATAACAGGTTAATATTGGCACCTCTCCTCATTGCGAGGACCAGCAACACGTGACAAAACATCTCTGGGATTTTGGAAACAGCCACAGTTCTAATCCTCATTCTGCCAAGGACACCCCATATACGCCCAGGAAACCACTTGAGATGCCATACTTAATTTCTACATGTTAAAAAAGGATAGGCATAAGGGGCAATACTGTTGTCTTTCTTCAGAAAACTGCAATCCCACTATAATTGCACTTCTGGTTTAAGGAAATGTGCTTCTGATGGGAAGAATCACCTGGAATCACCAGTGGGAGACATGGAAATAGAAAGAGAGATATGTGACTCAGGCTCTCTGGCATATAGAATCTGCCATCACATCACTTAAAATGAGGCCTGCCCTGCTCAGTTAAACTGATACTGTGACTCCCACCAACTGCAGCGGATGTCAGATCCGAGCCTGTGTATATGATGATTATTCACCCATCAGAATGTAGTCTCTTTGGATAATGCATGCCTTTATGTCTTTTTTTCCCCCTCCTGGGCAGCAAACTGCCAAACCCATCATTATTTCCTAAGATTAGCACCGCACCGCAGGAATCCTCTCCAATGCCTTTCCCACAAACAAGCACGATTACATCATAAAGAAAAATCAGAGCTTTAATATTTCTGATGTTCCTAACAGAATTAGTGCTGCACATTTATGAAGTTCCACTCTCAACCAGGGATCTTACCCCCTGACTTGTCACAACCTCTCTCTCCTCATTCTTTCAGTAATGATTCCTGGCCAAGTTCACAGACATTTTAAAAAAAAGAAACTACTACCTTTGAAGAACTTGAGGGGTAGGTAATCCTCTTTCAGGAGCCTGCTAGAAGAAGCAGTTAAGAAAAGTTAGTTATATATTAGCAGCTTTCCCAAGAGAGAGTGATAAAAAACAGGTGACTCCTCCCAAATCTTTGCAACTAATGGACATTGCATATCCACTCACTGTGGACTTAAAAAAAATCACTGCTGATCTACAAATCACGTTTCAAAAATATATCTCCCCTCACAAGAAGATAGCACAGTTTGCAGGTATGAGACTAAAGCTCTGGAAACTCTCCAGAGGGTCTATCCCTTCTTTCATGAACAGGGGAGACTAAAGCTAAAGAGGACACTGCTGTTCTTTTAAAATCGTACCTACCAGCACTCTGCATTACTGTATTACAGAGTAACACAGTAATTCGTGTACTGCAGTGCTTGGTATTCACAAGAAAACCATTTAAAAATGCATAAAGCAATAATTAAAAAAAAAACAAAACACTTAAAGCTTGACAGATTCATCCAAATATTTCCCACACAGAGCTCCAGAAAGAATAAAGCCACTGCGTATCGTTTAATTAATCAAGATAAGAGCACTAAAACACGCAATGACTACCAACAGTTCAGAGACAGGGAACAGCTTGTCACTTTGGAAGAAGAATAACCCTCTAAAAAAAAATTTAAAGATGTATACATACTCCTTGAAGCCATGAATGTTGCAAAACTTGAGCAGCACTAAGTCGTTCTTTGGCATCTCGAACCAGTAACTTTGAGATGAGATCTTTGGCCTCAGAGGATATATGTGACCAGTCCTTCTCAGGGAATTCATACTTGCCTTCCTGAATGCTCTCAAAAAGCTTGTTCTAGTAAAGGAAAAATTTCTTTCATTTAAATAGCAGCTAGAATGCAACCAGAAGACTTCTTGGGTGGGATTCTTCTCACTCAATTTTATCCACCTAATGGTGTGGGTGACAACTGAAACCATCCAGTCTTCTAATGGAGTCAATGGAGAGAGGCAGCTCCACAGAGTGATACCACACATCCTAAGATGCACATGATACACTGTGTGCTGGAAACATCTTCCCCCCTACCCTCCCCGTAACAGTGTGCCCAATGTATTGAATTTTTTAAAAAAATTAATTTAGGCCCTGAATGGAGACCATCCTGGGGCTAAACTTTCATCTGAGGAATTGTGGTGGCTACCATAAACTAGATCAAGAATTACAGAATACAGGAGGATCGCGGGGATGGGGAAGAGGAGGAGAAATTCTGAAATCTCACATCAGGAGGGGAAAGAGGCAGTTGCCAAACCTTACTTTAGAAAGAGATAGCATTGCTCAACTTTTATATTGCCACCCTTGCTTCTCAGTGACAGCTTATACTCCCAGATCTCTGGCTGGGTTACAGGCACAGCTCTTCACTGCTGGCATTATCACACCTCAAGCTCACGAGGAAAACTACACTCTCCCACGTACGCCCAGGGTCTGCACGTTCACCTGGCAAACTCTGCAGACTTCTCCTCTGTCCCAGCCACAGTCCGTGCCACAGTTGCCCACAAAAGGGGGGTAACCACTGAGCATGATGTACAGGATCACTCCCAGGCTCCAGAGATCACACCGCTTGTCATAGAACGTGGCCTCCTCCGTGAAGACTTCAACCACTTCGGGTGCCATGTATTCTGCAGAGCCACACTAGGAAACCAAATTCAAGCAAGTTTTCAAAGGGAGGGTCAAATCAAAACAAGACTCAGGTTTATCATTCTCTTTGTAGTAGGTGGCTTGGTCTAAAAGCAGAAGCAGGTATCAGGGACGACTGAAGTTTACTGTTGGCTTTCACTGCAGGACTCATTTTGTTAAGCCAAATCACAACTGCTGCATCCCTCAAATGTTAAATGGAATTGTCAAGAGCTTTGAAACATTTTGTAAGCGTACCGCACAGGAAAAAATTAACACATTTCAGCTGTAATGACTACTGAGACCTAATAGAAGGCAAAAGAGTTCCTACTGTTCTTTAGCAGAATCATAAGCTGTTCCATATGAATCTATGATTCTTTACAGAGGGTCAAAATATTAATTTACATATTTCAGGTTTTTTAATCTTAGCCATTAGTTACCAGGCTTTTTAGAAATTTAACAAATATATCATGGGGGGTGATTTCTTTAACAGACTCCTGCAAAACTCATGTTTTTCTTTCACAGTAATGCCAAAAGCATAGCACTCTAGTTTTTCAAAGTAATGTGTATTATAAAGCCACACCCTGATTACAGAGCTTGCACTGCATTTAGCTCATGGGTCTTGGCTACAGAAACTAAATATGGGGAAATTAACACAAAACTAAGGTTCAAACTCAGTCCACAAGCACACAAAACACCTCCACAAAAATGTTCCTCATTTGACAGGTAAGAGACAAACGGTAACAAGGTGTTAACTTCTCATCAACAGGAGAATTAACACGGTGAGTCCCTGTGCTTTTGTATATTTGTTCTATGACTGGGAAACTAAGACAGTATTTATCACACACACACTTTAAATGAACTATCCACAACTGGGTGTTGTTGCAGTAAGCCCTTTGGAAACTCTCCTCTGAAGACAAGAAAAATTGTTCTATGGTAGAAGAGGAAAAGCATAAAGCCACAGCGGGTCTCTTACCGGCGTTGTTAATTCGGGAGTAGTTATTGGAGTACACGCGCTGTTCAGCTTCACCCCACTACCAAGATCAAAGTCACATATTTTTACTGGTGAGATCTAAAATCAAGGACAAAACAGTAAGAGGCTCAGAAGAGCAGGGCTAATGCAATATACGTGAATACAGTGCCACATGGAAAACCCCAGCACAAACCCCAAGTTGTTCTAGCAGGAGGATCAGTGAAACCCAATCTCTTACAGGTATATTCCACTCCTTGCCTTTGCCTCCTCTGTCCCAGTTGCTCCCGTGTCCCCACCATCTAGCCCTAGTACTTTAATTTTTTATTTGGCTAGGGAAGTGCCAGCACACACTGGGGCAGTTTGGGAACTAAAGGTAAGATGACCAGCTGGCCTGTAAATGTTGCTCCTCCATCTGGTTACTGCCTCAGACCAGATGAGATGCTAAGTTGTAACTGCTGTGCCCTCTCCAAGAACAGTTGGCTTTTTATCTCCCAGCCAGATGCACACATTTCTACATCTCACAGAACAATTCAGTCTCTTTCGGGCTACAGTTCGAGTAAATTTAGTTGAAGATCACTAATGGGTTCAAAAGTCTTCAAGAGGAGAAAGACAGAACACGAGGACTGTCTTTGGAAGCAAAGTTAAAAATACACTTCCAAAGGATAAGAAAGCAGAGTAGCACCTTGTCTGGAGATTCACACAGGATGTTTTCAGGCTTCAGGTCCCTGTGAGCAATACCTAAATAAGAGTACAAACATCTATTAGAGAAGATACTCCCCTGTTTTATTTCTCGTTACCTCTCTTTATTAGAAGGCAGCCTGAGAAATATTCTAGGCCTGAGTTTGCTGCACCCCCTCCTCTGCTGCTTAATGATACTGCAAATAACTGATTTCAAAGTGTGTTTGTTAAAAGTCACTGTTGCATCCTGCTATGTCTTTATCACCCTTGAACATACAGGAGAGTCAGTCAAGCAAATAAGAACCTGCTTACACTGGAACTTTTTGGCTTAGCTCAAATTAATTATGTTAATTAAAACCAGCTTATTAAGATGACTGACCTGTAGGAAAATTTACTTGCGTACACAGTTTACTCAAAAGATTTTTGTGCCTTCTACAGTAAGGTTCTTCTTTCCAGAGGGATCAAGTGGTGGCTTGCTGGACTCCTACCAGCACAAACAACACCTGAGTGACTCTCCCCAGAAAATACCCTGAGTTCCCACGTGAAAATATCCTTCCTTGAATGGTGAGGTACAGACTCATTCCTGAAGTAAAATAAAAACTAAAGGGTATGGTTGAAAATGCAGAAGAAAAGGCCAAAGGAGAACAACCAAAGGGCTGGCTTCAACATTCATTCAACTGCTATCACAGTAGGCAAATCCAACTGGCAAATGCAAAGTTATCTACCTGTCCAATCAGTTCTTCAAATGCCTAAACATACAATTTCTAGAAGTAGTCCATTTAATATGATCAAACTTAATGTAAAAGCAGAAAACCAGAACCAAAAAAAAAAAAAAAAATCAAACGAGCGGGTTGGCTGCAATTTAACTGTACTTCAGCTTTGCTTAAAACAATTACACTCCAAGCACACTTGATACTTCAAAGTATCAGAAAAAAAAAAAAATCCCACCAAATTCTAGGTAAGGGAGTTTCTAATGTCTTCTCTTCAGCATGCTCCACAAGACATGACTTAAAATATAACATTAATAGCACAGCACTGATCTAAAGGAATCGGAGCATTCATAACGATGCAGTTCACATTGGCTTATGCATGGAAATGGTAAACATGAAAAAGGAAGATGCCCCACACTGACATTTACAGCAAGGCTGACAAAACTCCCAACAGTTGTCTTGGCTTGCGATATGAAACCCAACAGTACTTCTTTTGTATTATAGTTTGAATTCAAATGTCTGATTATATAACATTTTATTTTGCAGTTGCACACAGCGCTGAGAAAAGAAAACAACTGCCTTTAAACACTCCTCCAGTGGATTATTAGCAATAAAGCACACACATCCCAAGTGGGTGTAAGATGGTATTATGATCCAGCTGAGTTTTAAACTACTCCTGGCAAAAGAATTAGTTGTCCTCATTCAAATTTTTTTAAAGCATCTAGCTATAGCACTTCACTGTTAAGCTGTGCAATAAAACTGCTTTCATTTCCTGTTTACTTTAATGTTCTGTATGCTCCTTACTAATTATTTTAACGTCACACAGAAGAATCATAAAGAGAACAATAAAATGGAAGGGGATGGTGTTGTAGCTGATTCTGCAAGCCATGTCCCCACTGTACCGATTCACAGCAAACAACCAGAAAGAAAGTGGATTGCTGCTCTAAAGCCATTTTAATGAATCACTCCCATCTTGTTTGGGGAAAGGGGAATTAAAACTACAAGCTGAGAGAGAACTACAGAAAGATATTAGCTGAGTCGATGTTAAACTTCCTTTAACAGTGTTCCTAGACTTTCAGCTGTTCAACAACCTACTACAGCCCAAATAACATCAAGTAACTATTTCTCCTCATGTTCAGTGTAAGGTTCCTGTTCTTTATTTGCTCCGTATCTCAAAGTCTTCTAAACACAAGTATTCAAAGAGAACATTCTCTGCAGATTTAAAATGGAGCTATCACATAGGCAGGCTATGAAGATTACCAAGGATCTTAATTCAAACTGTGTTTATTTCCACATTCAAATGAACTTGTGATAACATAGTCACAACATGTGACAAGATCCATATTCCTCAGGTTTGCCACTTACTTTATTCCTTACGCATTGCTACACTTCTCTTTTTAAATGGGTTCAACCTTTCAAGGTATCAATATTGTGATTCCAACTCAAGCACATAGAAGCCTATAATTAAACATTTACTGAAGTGGGGCCTGTAGTAAACAACTTAAGACAGCAAACATAGATCTGCTGAGCATCTGTAAAACCTGGCTAATCATAATGCCAAAATTAACATAGAAAAGTTTATCAGAACAAATAACCAATAAACATCACCACCAATTACATGCCGTTCTATTCAGAGGTAGTCACTGTATTCAAATAAAAGCAAACATTAACTGAAGCTCCTTAATCTATGCAAGACCAGCTAATCATGACATAGATCACTTTAAAATCTTGCATATTATATTCAACACGAACACATACTGTGGGATGACCATAATGCATATAGATATTTTGAAATGAAGTAAAAGCACTCAAGTAGGAAAAACTGCCGGAAAACACTTTAACATAAAAGAACTCTCTACAAACAGAGCTGCTTTTAAATCTGAGCAAATCCATAATGAAATGAGGACACTTTCAAAAAAGGACTACAGTTCCCTTTTAGGTCTCTCAACTCAACAGTGGGGGCCTAAATGTGGAGATCAAAAGCTACTACAAACAAAGAGGTCTTGTAAAACAGCAGAAATTCTGAATAATTCTGGGTCTACAGAGAAGCAGTTCTGTAGATCCAAAAGAGGAGAAAATTAAGAAGAGTATTAGCTCCTTTTGAATAACCTTTACATGGTGGCTTAGGTAACAAGAACAAGCAAACAGATTCAAAGCTAATGTTAATTCTCCCCAGATACTGATTTACCTTTTCTTCTTCAAAAGGCAATACCGTCTTAATAAAGCTGATTACTTAAACTATCACATCATGAAAATAATATTATAGAGGAAAACAGCATAAGTCATCTGGCACTGAAATGCTAGCACAGAAATGCTAGCAAAAGCTGACTATTTACAGATGAAATGTGCTCCATAACCCAAGGATACAATATCAATTAGTAAAGATGGAGACAGCCTCCTTCTCTTACCTTTTGTATGAAGAAAATCCAGAGCAGAGGCAATATCTCTCACCACTTTGCTGGCTTCTCGTTCGTTGAAGTGCTTCCGCTTTTGTATGTGGGCCAGGATTGAACCTGTCAGAGTAACAGGTGAAAGGGAAAACCTGAGCATGAATGCTGCCTGGGCTGAGAAAGGGCTTTGTCAATACAAGGATAAAATAATTGCCACTACTAGTCTGTCATAAAGGGAGAACTCATCTCAGTGTAAAGGGGGCAAGAAGCAGCTTCAAAAAGTTATTTGCAACCAACACTCTGTCCTAGTACGTTTCCATGGCAGAAACTGAAATGTCACAATCCCACGTTTTAATATGAAAATAGCCTGAGAAAATACTTATGAAGTAGTACCAAGTATCATGAATCCATAACCTCATTTCTCATATTTTATAACAGCATTTCACAGCAGGCAACTTCCATGGACTGAACAAGGGAATGACTAAGAAGAAATAGGTACAACTGAGCAGCTTCAATACTTAGGCATGCTGGAACATAATTTTCAAACGCTGCAGCCCTCCGGTTTAAGCACAGCATGAAAGGCAATCACTTTTTACTGCCCCAGCACGACTGGTCTGTTTTCCACACTGTGAACAGTAAAGACTTCCTAATAGTACTACTAAAACTCAAACATCTAAGGATGTACATAGCACTTAAACAAAACCCACCCTTCCCCAGGTCACAAGTGGCCACACTCGAACTAACTCTCCTCATTTTGCATAATGTGACAATTGAAACCATGCACTGAAAGTAAAGTATACACTATTTTTGTCTCAATACCATCAAAATAAAAAAAAACCCCAAACATCCTACCCTTGAATACACCTTAAAATTCTCACTGACATCAAGGTAAGGCTCATACACTGATTTAAGGCAAAATATGCCCAGGGACATGAAATCTGACAAAAGACCTCTCAAATGTGAATATACAGAAGGACTGGTAGCTTGCAGGCAGAGCTCTACTGGTATCCCTTTAACAAAGGATAAAGGAAAGTTTGATTCTTTGTCTTCTTTAGGTGAATTCCATCAATCTTCTCAAAAGATTAAAAATATCTTCAAAAAACCAATTAAATGTAGTCCACAGAGATCCAGGCCCACTACATAGCCTTACTACTGACTTTCATTTTCTTTCTCAGAGAGATACACTTATAAAAGCAATCAGGCAGAGAAATTCAAGAACTCCTATTTGTTATTAGCCTCCAACACAGTAAACCTTTTATCTCTCAGGCGATTTCATTTTAATTCTTCAGTTCTAGATATGGAAGGAAACCTCCCATTCTCTATTGCAGTAATTCCTGTTCTTACACCATCAATGCTGCTGCCAGTCCTCCAAAAGGAGGATTCAGAGAGGAAACAGGAAAGACAGTAAAAAAGCAGAAAGATGGACAAAAGGCTCACTGGATACACTTTGATATGACAAGAGACTCCAGATATGCACAGATAGGCTGTGTCAGATGGGTAGAGGAAAGCCACTTTGGACCAGGTTATCAGATTTCAAATACAGAAGGTTTCCCTTGCTGAAAACAACACTTTCTAGTTTGCTACACATTTCTTAAGGGCGGGGAGTTCAAAGGGTTTTCGTGGTATAGTTGTTCTTTAAAGCTTTAGAAAGTAATAACAGTTCTTGAATGCTTCCATCCCTGTGAAAATGACACCAGACTTTGCAGGAAACAATACTGAGCCACCTGAAGTGCTCATTTCACTCGGCAGGTTTATTTCAGATTACCCTTCTGAATAGAGCTGATGTTTCAAACTCTCTCAGATAAGAATTATATCAATATCAACGAAAAACATTCGACAGCCTTTATATTCAACCCACGTAGAGGAATCCCACAAACAGAAAGAATAGCAGGGCACACCTGCCACAGTTGTTACCACCTCTTCAGTATTTATCAGAGAGAAATGATCATGTAGCACCACCCAAAATGCATTTCAGATAACGAAGGAAAAAAAAAAAAAGAGGAAAGGACTCTTAAATCATGCAAGTTGAGTGTAATAAACCGGATTTTAATGCTTTTAATTATAAAATACTGTCAGGCAACAATATCAAACTGCTTCTGCATCTCATGGTGAACTGAACACAGCTCAAATGGGAGCAGAGCTCCTTCAGTTACCACAGCTACAGGAAGGCAAAGCAGGAAATGGAAAACCCAAGTTCTGCCCCAGTACTGTAGGTAACATCAGTCTCAGACTGGAGTTACTAAAGTAAGGCCTGTATTTAAGATTAATGTTCTCAATCCTGCCAGCCACGCTGCTTACATCAGAAATCAGTAGTGCATCAGAAGCTGCTCTCACTCCTAATTCCCATTATTTCTTCCTTCAAACCTACATACTTAACACTACAAATGTTGAAATTTTTTGAAAAGCAAAATAGCCTCAGCCCTACTTGACCACTGTAAATACAGCGGCTAAGAGAGGGAAGAAGGTGTAGCATCATTATCCTCTCAGCAGCCATGCAGTTACAATGACAACCACAGTCTCACAGTCAAAAAAGAGGGTTAACTAATGGAAGAATGTGGAGATGGGAAAATAGACAAATGCAGATTCATCCCAATTGAGCCCTATTACAGCTCATTTGCCAGAGAAGTCTGTGCATTAAGAGGAAGAGTGTTAGAGGGAAGCACAATGAAATGATGCAGTAATTTTAAGGGAAGGTAAACAAAAGCTTTTACTAAAGATATAAAAAAAAAACCCATGCCTGTCTTTAAATTAAAGTTCTGCATCTATACTGAAAGAATTTGCATTTCTTGCACATATGGTTTGCTACTAAAAACTTTCTTGACCAGTGACAATAGATAATGTTATATGGACACAAGTACACTCTTTCAGAAACTGTCTTCCTTTGAAGGATGGGGCAGGCTTTCAATTCCTAGTTTTGCACAGCCATGCAAGTAATGGATACTGTAATTATGCTCAATGCAGACAAACGTTAAAAAGTCCACCAAGTGCTTGATGTCATCCCCCAGGTGAGCATTAAAGCACATGCTCACTTGACTGGCCCTCAGACAGCCACAAGCTCCACAATCACAGCAACCTGAGGCAGAAGCAAGATGGTTTTTTCCAAGAAACTCTGTGAGTTTCAGGAAACAAAGTCAATCCTCCATCAAAGGAAAATGCTACCAGAGTATTTAGATGCTGTATTAAGATATTGAATAGCACCTGACATACCGTGTGTCTCCTCTTGCCTAAAGGTACTGTGACCTACTAACTATATTCCAAAGCTTCCATTTTAATAGAGCTGACATTTCCATCACTTAACTACAACAAAGGGATTGCAAATGTATGACCAGACACATCAATATTCAAGAATAAATATACTAAGCTTGAAGTATGGTATTTCCTCTACTACTTCTTTGTCTTAAAATTCTCCAGCATTTAAAATAAGCTCTTAATTTTCTTCTTTAAAACACCGGGACAAACAGGACCAAGATGATTCAATGAAAAAAGGCACAGTTATTGCTCGGTACCTCCTCGCAGCTTCTCAAAGACAAGGTAGTATCTTGCATCATCTTCAAAAAATTCTATTAACTCCAAAATGTTCCTTTAAAAAAAAAAAAAAGAAAAAAGGGGAAATAGAAGAAACAGGCATAGAGTGTACATAAAGCAATGAAGAACTTCAGCATGGATAATTAAGAAGTGCCAGAAGAAACTAAAAATGAAAGTTCTAATTAAACAAGTTGCTTTGGTTGCCTCTGGCATTAAAACGACATTTCCAACTCACGCTGAAATTTAAGCAGGGTAAACAGGCCAACCACCAAAATAAGACAGGATTGTGAAAGAGTTCAGCTACTGCTCAATTGACAGGAAGATAACTGATAATAGGTTGCATTTAATAATTTAGAACACAAAGAGCAGAACAAACCACACATGTAGGAAGGGAATGGCAAGACCGTCCCGTTCAATAGCAGCCGGTATCAGGTCAGCTTTTGCTGATGGTGAAATCACAGGGGAGTGTGTCAAAATGCTAATTCCTCATTTGGACAAAAGCCATTCATTACTGAAGCATGTTCAGGGTACACTGACCTGGTTGCTAATTGAGTGATGTGATTTTTAATTTGTAAATATTTCCCTAAATTTCAAAGGTAAGAGAAGGGGAAATTCTTATTTCAAGTAAGTCTTAATTTCAGCTGGTTTTAAGGAGACTGTTGCAAAGGTCCTAACCTAGTGACACATAAGAGGCTTAAAAATTTTAAAAGAATATTCAAGATACTTTAGATACACACACAGGAGACTCCATACTTACTTGTTACCCTGACACTGGTACAGTGTTTCTATTTCACGAAAAACCCGACTCCGACTATGTCCAGCGTTTTTTTCAATGATCTGTGGAAAGAGTTAGAGCTCATCTTCGAAGAAATAGTGCAGGAACTGTGCATGTGGCTCTGGAATTAGAGAACGGATGTAAAGCTTGAACCTCAGCCATGCCCACCAGAGAGAAACGCTCCACCTTTGTTTGCTTGTTTAATTTCTCATCTTTTATTTATTTAGTGTCAGCAGAGCTCTGGAAGGCATTCAAAGGACAAGAGAAATGAGGACAGGAAGAGAAGAAAGGAACTAAATTCGCTTGTTACACAGTCACTGACCAGTTACCACAAGCTTTTTCTTGCATCATTTTAACTCTGCAACGTACAGAAAAGGATATCCTTTTGAGTTCTAACAAAAATAGATTTGAGTCACATCAGACAGTGAACAGCCAAAAAGAAGAGATTTGTCATTATAGGCGTTTAAGTTAAAAGTACTAAATTAACCACAAAAGGAGTTTGGTTCATAGTGCAAACTTCATGGACACCAAATAATAGGACCCAACATATTAAAGAAAAAATACACTCAATCTCAGAGCCCTTCTGTACTGCCATCAGATGTCACCTTCCTTTACACTCTTCTCAGACTGAAAGAGGACAAGGACAAGGGCTTTCCACAGGGGCAAAGACTGAATGATTGCTACACAAACTGAAAGCTCATAACATTACCACAAATACCTCTGTATCCAGTAGCTTTTCTCATTTTTACAGCTAGAGTTCTCCAGTACAATGGGCAACCATTCACCAGTACTGGATCACGCCTAATTCATACTGTAGCGATTTGCTTATTCCAGACTTTCAGCTTCAGCAATTCTACAAAGTACAAGCACAATTATAGCATCCATAGGACTAGATTTTTAAAGGGACTTAAAATTTTGTGCCTGTGGTTTTTGCAAAAGGTTGCAAAAGAGAAGCACAAAGCTTCTCTATTACTATTATTTGTGTTTGCAATTAAATGGGGAACTCAGAATAACCACAGCAGCCTTCCAATACCTAAATGGGGTCTACAGGAAAGATGGGGAGGGTCTCCTTATCAGGGATTGGAGCGATAGGATGAGGGGTAACGGTTTTAAACTGAAAGAGGGGAGATTTAGATTAGATAGGAGGAAGAAATTATTTACTGTGAGGGTGGTGAGACACTGGAACAGGTTGCCCAGAAAAGCCGTGGAAGCCCCTTCCCTGGAAGTGTTTAAGACCAGGCTGGATGGGGCTTTGAGCAACCTGATCTACTGGAAGGTGTCTTTGCCCAGGGCCGGGAGGTTGGAATTGGATGATCTTTAAGGTTCCTTCCAACCTGAACCATTCTGTGATTCTAACCACAAATCTGTAAATGGGCCCCAGCACTTAATATAATGGTATTACAGAACATTGACCTCTGTTAAAAAAAAAAAACCAAAACCCGAAAAAAAACCAAAAAAACAAAAAAACAAAAGCTGAGACAGCTTTACATGAACTAATGGCAGTAACTGATGCTCTCTGAACTCTGAGCAGCATTCTCAAAAGCTTGTATATTTGGTAGGCCAGGCTACATAATGACTCAGCCTCTTCCTTCATAAGACAACATAAAAACTGGTAGGACTACAATCAAATTAGGACATGAGAGGAAAGCCTGTCCTGATATGTAACCATCACAGAGTCATTTACTGTTTGTGAATCCTATCTGCTGCCGATACACCAGTTCACTCCAGAGGCATAATACTTAAGACAACAGATATCTCAGCCATTAAACAGCAGACTCATTTCAAGCATCAAAAATTTTCTAAAAGCTTTTGCTATTGCCCAGTCTATTACCAGTTTTCACAGAGATACTAGGAGGGAGAAGACATGTTACAGAGAGAGGAGATGCTGCTTTCACTCTATACTTACTTTTACTGCATATTCTTTCCCAGTTTGGAGGCTGACAGCACCCTGAACTTTGGCGTATGCTCCCTCACCAAGCAGCTCAGCAGTCAGCTTGTACAAGTCTGCCAAAGAAATCCAACAGAAAGGACACATGAGCCAAAGCGTTTCAGTGAATAACATCAAGACAAGCTATTTATCTGATGAGCATCCCTCATATGACAGCAACTGAAAAAACTCCCTTCGTAATGAAGACAGCAAACAGATTTATGCAGTACTAAAGTAGTGCCAGACTTAATTATGTCTCATTTTTCACTTCCCCCTTTCAAGTTCCAGGAAAATTTAAAGTAGACTTCATTCCAACATCAAAATTACAAGTTTGTTTATACAAAAAACATTTTCTATCTCAGCAATTGCCTCATCCTCCTTCCCTGTCTTCATGTAAAACTCAGAATCAATTTTTTTTTAATCACTCCTTGATTAGAAAATGCGCTCATCCTCCTTCCCTGTCTTCATGTAAAACGCAGAATCAATTTTTTTTAGGTAGAAAACATTTCACTCCTTGATTAGAAAATGCATACTATGCAAAAATCTACTAGCAGACATAGCGTTTTAAGTAAAATTGAAATTTGAGTGTTTAAACCTAGAGGTCTTTAAGGTTTAAAACTAGAAGACTGATACCATCTTAATTTGCAATGTACCTTGCTATGCTACTTGCACATTAAGAAGTTTTATGCTGGTCAGTCTTGTCACACTGAACTGTATTTTACCTACAATGCTTCACAGTATTTGTGCTCACATCTATTCAAATCAAAACATTCTGACAACATTTTCTTTCTACCAAAACAACCCCATCACATCTATTCAAATCAAAACATTCTGACATTTTTTTTCTACCAAAAAAATCCCCAAAACAACAAACCAAAAAACCCCACCAAACCAAAACATACCACCAAATTATGAACAGGACTCAGATTTCAACACTAAGAAAAGAAAAAGACTGAAACATGGGGGATAAAGAGAAACAGAAATGTTAACTTACAATGTTTGCCGAAAAGCAATGCTCAGCTAAGAAAACTGAGAACAGCAGAGGGAAAACAGACCATTACAATTAAAAGCTTAGAAGTTGCCACCAACCTTCAAACTTGCCAGGGACGTGATCTGTGGCTCTGGTTCTTTTTTTCTTTTTCCTTTTCCCACTGTCTGCTATGGGGAGAGGCTGACTGCTGACCATCTCTGTGTGGCAGAACATAAAGGTGCCTTTAACACACAATCAATTACTTTACTTTAGGAGAACATGAACATGCTCTTGTTCCTCTTCTCTTCATCACAGGCTGCCATCTCTCCCCCAAATATCAGAGGAAGCCTAAAAAGACAATTTGGGTGCTAATGAACAGCTCTGGGGAGATTTGATAGAGAAATGTAAAAACAGAAGAAAATAATGATGCATCTCTACTGAATCCTCCTCTCATGGCACAGCACGGCAAAGCATGAGAATAACCTTGTCAACAATGACCATGAGCTACCCACAACATAACACATGCCCTGATGCAAGACAGGATTTACAGCCCTCACAAGGGCACTATTCTTTCAGCTGTTCTACCGTTTTACAAGCAGATTTTTTTTTTTCAAGCATCTTAAGAAAATGAGTTTCCAAAACAGAAGGAAGGTGTGGGGAGGTTTCAAGCAACCTGGTGAAACAAAGCAACCACAGGAGTTAACAGGTCAAATGAGCGATCTAGGTCAGTTTATGCTGCCAAAAGGCCAGAAAAAAACCCAGTCTCTCAAAAAAAAAATAAAAAAAAAAATTATAAAAAAATAACATATAAAAAAAAAAAAAAAAAAAAAAAAAAAAAAAAAAAAAAAAAAAAAAAAAAAAAAAAAAAAAAAAAAAAAAATCAAACGAGCGGGTTGGCTGCAATTTAACTGTACTTCAGCTTTGCTTAAAACAATTACACTCCAAGCACACTTGATACTTCAAAGTATCAGAAAAAAAAAAAAATCCCACCAAATTCTAGGTAAGGGAGTTTCTAATGTCTTCTCTTCAGCATGCTCCACAAGACATGACTTAAAATATAACATTAATAGCACAGCACTGATCTAAAGGAATCGGAGCATTCATAACGATGCAGTTCACATTGGCTTATGCATGGAAATGGTAAACATGAAAAAGGAAGATGCCCCACACTGACATTTACAGCAAGGCTGACAAAACTCCCAACAGTTGTCTTGGCTTGCGATATGAAACCCAACAGTACTTCTTTTGTATTATAGTTTGAATTCAAATGTCTGATTATATAACATTTTATTTTGCAGTTGCACACAGCGCTGAGAAAAGAAAACAACTGCCTTTAAACACTCCTCCAGTGGATTATTAGCAATAAAGCACACACATCCCAAGTGGGTGTAAGATGGTATTATGATCCAGCTGAGTTTTAAACTACTCCTGGCAAAAGAATTAGTTGTCCTCATTCAGATTTTTTTAAAGCATCTAGCTATAGCACTTCACTGTTAAGCTGTGCAATAAAACTGCTTTCATTTCCTGTTTACTTTAATGTTCTGTATGCTCCTTACTAATTATTTTAACGTCACACAGAAGAATCATAAAGAGAACAATAAAATGGAAGGGGATGGTGTTGTAGCTGATTCTGCAAGCCATGTCCCCACTGTACCGATTCACAGCAAACAACCAGAAAGAAAGTGGATTGCTGCTCTAAAGCCATTTTAATGAATCACTCCCATCTTGTTTGGGGAAAGGGGAATTAAAACTACAAGCTGAGAGAGAACTACAGAAAGATATTAGCTGAGTCGATGTTAAACTTCCTTTAACAGTGTTCCTAGACTTTCAGCTGTTCAACAACCTACTACAGCCCAAATAACATCAAGTAACTATTTCTCCTCATGTTCAGTGTAAGGTTCCTGTTCTTTATTTGCTCCGTATCTCAAAGTCTTCTAAACACAAGTATTCAAAGAGAACATTCTCTGCAGATTTAAAATGGAGCTATCACATAGGCAGGCTATGAAGATTACCAAGGATCTTAATTCAAACTGTGTTTATTTCCACATTCAAATGAACTTGTGATAACATAGTCACAACATGTGACAAGATCCATATTCCTCAGGTTTGCCACTTACTTTATTCCTTACGCATTGCTACACTTCTCTTTTTAAATGGGTTCAACCTTTCAAGGTATCAATATTGTGATTCCAACTCAAGCACATAGAAGCCTATAATTAAACATTTACTGAAGTGGGGCCTGTAGTAAACAACTTAAGACAGCAAACATAGATCTGCTGAGCATCTGTAAAACCTGGCTAATCATAATGCCAAAATTAACATAGAAAAGTTTATCAGAACAAATAACCAATAAACATCACCACCAATTACATGCCGTTCTATTCAGAGGTAGTCACTGTAATCAAATAAAAGCAAACATTAACTGAAGCTCCTTAATCTATGCAAGACCAGCTAATCATGACATAGATCACTTTAAAATCTTGCATATTATATTCAACACGAACACATACTGTGGGATGACCATAATGCATATAGATATTTTGAAATGAAGTAAAAGCACTCAAGTAGGAAAAACTGCCGGAAAACACTTTAACATAAAAGAACTCTCTACAAACAGAGCTGCTTTTAAATCTGAGCAAATCCATAATGAAATGAGGACACTTTCAAAAAAGGACTACAGTTCACTTTTAGGTCTCTCAACTCAACAGTGGGGGCCTAAATGTGGAGATCAAAAGCTACTACAAACAAAGAGGTCTTGTAAAACAGCAGAAATTCTGAATAATTCTGGGTCTACAGAGAAGCAGTTCTGTAGATCCAAAAGAGGAGAAAATTAAGAAGAGTATTAGCTCCTTTTGAATAACCTTTACATGGTGGCTTAGGTAACAAGAACAAGCAAACAGATTCAAAGCTAATGTTAATTCTCCCCAGATACTGATTTACCTTTTCTTCTTCAAAAGGCAATACCGTCTTAATAAAGCTGATTACTTAAACTATCACATCATGAAAATAATATTATAGAGGAAAACAGCATAAGTCATCTGGCACTGAAATGCTAGCACAGAAATGCTAGCAAAAGCTGACTATTTACAGATGAAATGTGCTCCATAACCCAAGGATACAATATCAATTAGTAAAGATGGAGACAGCCTCCTTCTCTTACCTTTTGTATGAAGAAAATCCAGAGCAGAGGCAATATCTCTCACCACTTTGCTGGCTTCTCGTTCGTTGAAGTGCTTCCGCTTTTGTATGTGGGCCAGGATTGAACCTGTCAGAGTAACAGGTGAAAGGGAAAACCTGAGCATGAATGCTGCCTGGGCTGAGAAAGGGCTTTGTCAATACAAGGATAAAATAATAGCCACTACTAGTCTGTCATAAAGGGAGAACTCATCTCAGTGTAAAGGGGGCAAGAAGCAGCTTCAAAAAGTTATTTGCAACCAACACTCTGTCCTAGTACGTTTCCATGGCAGAAACTGAAATGTCACAATCCCACGTTTTAATATGAAAATAGCCTGAGAAAATACTTATGAAGTAGTACCAAGTATCATGAATCCATAACCTCATTTCTCATATTTTATAACAGCATTTCACAGCAGGCAACTTCCATGGACTGAACAAGGGAATGACTAAGAAGAAATAGGTACAACTGAGCAGCTTCAATACTTAGGCATGCTGGAACATAATTTTCAAACGCTGCAGCCCTCCGGTTTAAGCACAGCATGAAAGGCAATCACTTTTTACTGCCCCAGCACGACTGGTCTGTTTTCCACACTGTGAACAGTAAAGACTTCCTAATAGTACTACTAAAACTCAAACATCTAAGGATGTACATAGCACTTAAACAAAACCCACCCTTCCCCAGGTCACAAGTGGCCACACTCGAACTAACTCTCCTCATTTTGCATAATGTGACAATTGAAACCATGCACTGAAAGTAAAGTATACACTATTTTTGTCTCAATACCATCAAAATAAAAAAAAACCCCAAACATCCTACCCTTGAATACACCTTAAAATTCTCACTGACATCAAGGTAAGGCTCATACACTGATTTAAGGCAAAATATGCCCAGGGACATGAAATCTGACAAAAGACCTCTCAAATGTGAATATACAGAAGGACTGGTAGCTTGCAGGCAGAGCTCTACTGGTATCCCTTTAACAAAGGATAAAGGAAAGTTTGATTCTTTGTCTTCTTTAGGTGAATTCCATCAATCTTCTCAAAAGATTAAAAATATCTTCAAAAAACCAATTAAATGTAGTCCACAGAGATCCAGGCCCACTACATAGCCTTACTACTGACTTTCATTTTCTTTCTCAGAGAGATACACTTATAAAAGCAATCAGGCAGAGAAATTCAAGAACTCCTATTTGTTATTAGCCTCCAACACAGTAAACCTTTTATCTCTCAGGCGATTTCATTTTAATTCTTCAGTTCTAGATATGGAAGGAAACCTCCCATTCTCTATTGCAGTAATTCCTGTTCTTACACCATCAATGCTGCTGCCAGTCCTCCAAAAGGAGGATTCAGAGAGGAAACAGGAAAGACAGTAAAAAAGCAGAAAGATGGACAAAAGGCTCACTGGATACACTTTGATATGACAAGAGACTCCAGATATGCACAGATAGGCTGTGTCAGATGGGTAGAGGAAAGCCACTTTGGACCAGGTTATCAGATTTCAAATACAGAAGGTTTCCCTTGCTGAAAACAACACTTTCTAGTTTGCTACACATTTCTTAAGGGCGGGGAGTTCAAAGGGTTTTCGTGGTATAGTTGTTCTTTAAAGCTTTAGAAAGTAATAACAGTTCTTGAATGCTTCCATCCCTGTGAAAATGACACCAGACTTTGCAGGAAACAATACTGAGCCACCTGAAGTGCTCATTTCACTCGGCAGGTTTATTTCAGATTACCCTTCTGAATAGAGCTGATGTTTCAAACTCTCTCAGATAAGAATTATATCAATATCAACGAAAAACATTCGACAGCCTTTATATTCAACCCACGTAGAGGAATCCCACAAACAGAAAGAATAGCAGGGCACACCTGCCACAGTTGTTACCACCTCTTCAGTATTTATCAGAGAGAAATGATCATGTAGCACCACCCAAAATGCATTTCAGATAACGAAGGAAAAAAAAAAAAAGAGGAAAGGACTCTTAAATCATGCAAGTTGAGTGTAATAAGCCGGATTTTAATGCTTTTAATTATAAAATACTGTCAGGCAACAATATCAAACTGCTTCTGCATCTCATGGTGAACTGAACACAGCTCAAATGGGAGCAGAGCTCCTTCAGTTACCACAGCTACAGGAAGGCAAAGCAGGAAATGGAAAACCCAAGTTCTGCCCCAGT